ATTTTTTGGTTGCAGCCATCATTGTTGTTTGGTGGGCCCGGGCTGGATTTGAACCTGCCACCTTAGGTGTATGTGGCTGGCGCCTGGGCCACTTGAGCCACAGGCACCGAGCCGACTCATATTCCTTCTATTCTACAGTATAAGGAGCCATGTATGGCAGGTGCAAGGGAAGGGAACTTGCTTCAGAAACCTGCTTTATTTGGTGCATACATTTACATTTTTTTTAAATCAACTTTATTGCCAGGCATAATAGCTCATGCCTGTAGTCTTAGCACTTTGGGAGGCTGAGGTGGGTGGACTGCTGGAGCTCAGGAGTTCAAGACCAGCTTGAGCAAGAGTGAGACCCCACCTCTACCAAAAATAAAAACACTAGCTGGACATTATAGTAGGGACCTGTAATCCCAGCTAGTTGGGAGGCTGAGACAAGAGAGGGTTATTCAAACCCAAGAGTTTGAGGTTGCTCTGAGCTATGATATCAGGACACTTTACTCAGGGCAACAGAGTGAGACTCTCTCAAACAAACAAACAAACAAACAAAAAAACTTGATTGAGGTATAATTTAGAGGCATGATTTTCATACAATAAAATAATTCTATGTCAAGGAAGGAATCTTCCCCAACACATTCTATGAAGCAGACATCACCCTGATACCAAAACTAGGAAAAGACCCACCTAAGAAGAACTTAAGACCAATTTCACTAATGCATATAGATGCAAAAATTCTCAATAAAATCCTAGGCAATAGATTATAGCTACACATTAAAAAAAATCATCACAATCAAGTAGGTTTCATCCCAGGGATACAAGGCTGGTTTACCATACACAAAATGTCTATGCTGCCCAAAGCAATCTACAGATTCAGTGTAATCCCCATTAAAATGCCAATATCATACTTTCAAGATTTGGGGAAAATAATTCATTTTGTATGGAACCAGAAAAAAACCCATATAGCTAAGACAATTTTTAGTAATAAAACGAAAGCTGGGGCTCAGTGCCTATAGCTTAGCGGATAGGGCATTGGCCACATACATGGGGTTGGCGGGTTTGAACCCAGCCCGGGCCTGCCAAACAACAGTGACAACTACAA